ATATATATATATATATATATATATATATCGGGCAAGCCTCTCAGTCACTCGAGACTCAACTCTCATCAATCAGCGCTCACACTCAGCACTCACGCTCAATGGGTACCTTATAGTAACCGCTGCGGCGTGCAGCCCGATCCATATATCGCTGCGGCATGCAGCCCAATCTATATATATAGTCGACTGCGCTCACTGGGGGTGTGCAGACTCCGGAGGGGCTCCTACAGCCCAAGCGATATCGCTGCGGCGTGCAGCCCGATCCAATACATCGTTACGGTGTGCAGCCCGATCCCTATACATATCAATATCGCTGCGGCATGCAACCCGATCCATAAATATATATAATATTATTGCGCCGTGCAACCCGATCCATAAATACATATATATAATCCTCACCACCAGGACCTCGGCCTCTCTCAGTCATCAACCTCACAATCAGACCATCGGTCCCTCTCAGTCATCGGCCTCACAAGCCACTCGGGCTATCAGTAGAACAGGGTGCTCAGCCCAAACAACTTTCATATATTTACAACAGAGTACTAAAACTGAATCAAAAGTAAACAGGTAAAAATCATGACTGAGGATATACTTTCAAATCAAAAAGTGAGAGGAAACACTAGCAGAAAGCCCCTAAGGGTCCAAACGGTTGGCACAAGGCCCAGATATGGCATTCAGCCCAAAACATAGTAATATTTTCCAGAACACAATGATATCAAATAATTTTCAATCAAATACGCGACTTAACAGCCACATGGGACGGACCAAGTCACAATCCCTAACAGTGCACGACCCCATGCTCGTCATCTAGCGTGTGTGTCACCTCAAAGTAGCACAACGATGTGAAATCCGGGGTTTCATACCCTCAGGACAACATTTACAATCATTACTTACCTCGATCCGGATGAACATCTACACCGCGATGCCCTTGCCGCTCGACTCTGCCTCAAATCACCTCGAATCTAACCAAAATCAGAATCATATCATCAATATATGCCAAAAGGACAAAACCAACGCGAAAATTATCAAATTAAACTCAAAATCCCGAAATTGGCAAAACCCGGCCACCCGGGCCCACGTCTCGGAATCCAATAAAAACCACATCAATAGAATCCTTATCCTCCCACGAGTCTATACATATCAAGAACATCAAAATCGGATCCCAAACGGCCCCTCGAATCCCTAATCAAAGTCTCAAGTTCCAAGCCCTAAATTCCCAATTCTTTCTCCAATTTTCCCACAAATTTCATGATTAAACAATGAAATAATCACCATAAACACAAGGTATAAGGCCCAATTAGCTTACCTCTATGAAAACACTTGATCCCCTCTTGAAATCACAGCTTGGAGCTCCAAAATCGACCAAAAATGGTGAAGAAAATGACTGAAAATCGCGAAGGGACTTTAAATAGATTCTGCCCAGCACTTCCGCATCTGCGGTGCCCATTACGCATCTGCGGGGCCGCATCTGCGCAAAAATGACCGCACCTGCATTTTCAACTTAAATCACCAGCTTCCGCACCTGCGCCCCAGGCATCGCACCTGCGGGTTCGTAGGTGCCATAAATCCATCTGCTCCTGCGGCAAAACACGCATTTGCGGTTGCTCACCGCTTCTGTGAACATCGCACCTGCAGTCCCCAATCCGCAGGTGCGAAAACAACACAAGGTGCAAAAATCTGCAGCAACAACTCCGCTCTAAACATTCCGTCGACCACTCAAAACCATCCCGAGGCCATCGGGACCTCGACCCAACATACCAACAAGTCGCGTAACATCATTCAAACTTGTTCCAACCTTCGGAACACTCAAAACAACATTAAAAGATCAAATCACCACGGATTCAAGCCTACAAACTCTAAAACTTTCGAATTCCGCTTTTGATCAAAAAGTCTATCAAACCTCGTCCGAATGACCTGAAATTTTGCACACACGTCACAAATGACAAAACAGACATACTCCAACTTCCGGAATCCCATTCTGACCCCTATATCAAAATCTCACATATCAACCGAAAAATGCCAAAATTCCAATTTCGCCAATTCAAGCCTAAATCTACTCCGGACCTCCAAAACACATTCCGATCACGCCCTTAAGTCCCAAATCACCTAACGGAGCTAACCAAATCATAAAAATCCAAATCCGACATCATGTACTAAAAAGTCAAAACTTGGTCAAACCTTTCAAATTGAAAGCTTCAACTGAGAATTGTTCTTCCAAATCTGTTCCGATTATCCTGAAAACCAAAACCAACGATTTACATAAGTCATAAAGCATCATACGGGGATAGCCTTGCCCGAGAACTGGCGAGCAAAGTGCAAATGCTCAAAACGACCTGTCGGGTCGTTACATATA